ACAGCTTGTAACACTCCAAAGAGAAAGGAAAACTTGAAATCGCATCAAATGACCCCTTTAAGGGCCAGATTTACTTAACAGGGCACATTAGAGACTGTAATCCCATAAAAGTGGTGATGGGAGTGGAAAATTCTGCAGGTGATCAAAATGGGTTAAGACATGCTTTTCTGGATGCAATGATGGTGCAAATGTTAGTAAACTGACTACCGTAAACGTTGCATGATTTACTTAAATACTCTCCCCCCGTAAATTTTGGGTCTAAAAGGGAAACTTCTACAAATGCATATGCAATGAGATCAGCCGCAAAAAATGACTGTGTCCACACCTTTTCATTGCATGTCTTTAGTAAATCCTGGCAGCAGTTTTTAACACCAAAAGAGGGTTTGGGCTGTAACGAATATCAATCATCTTAAATGCTGCATGTGAATTTTTGACATCACAATATTATGATGTAAAGTATGAATTACGGTTACTACATTAAATGTTAATAAACTATTGCTTTTTCAAAGATACATTTTTAAATGAGTGTTAGGAGGCAATCTAAACCCTCCTAAAATACAGGGAGAAAAAGTACACACATCTACATATCCAACATCAGAATCAGAATGAGCTTTATTGCCAGGTATGTTTAGACTTCACGAGCGCGCCGGCTCGCTTCCCCCGTCTGCGCGTTCTGAAGCGCTTGATCAGCGCCGCAGCTCCCCCGACAACAATGTCCAGCAGAACATCAGAATAATCAAAAACCGGTGAAATATCGGGTGGTGTGTACTTCCTAATGTCCAGCAATTCGTCTCTGGTGAAACTGATTGCAGGGATATAACTAATATATATAACAGGACAAACTAACAAAAACACAAAAACAACTGCGGAGCACGCCACGGAGGCAGCCATCAGCGTCGGCGCCATCATTGTCATTCAACATTAAGCAATATCAATAAACGTAAAAAAACAATTCTAATTGGTCGATAACCAATAAATGGCATCGCTACCCAGCTGGTCATGTGATGCCAACATGGTAGTGCCCATGATGGGAAGACCCTCTACATGCAGAACAAAACAACATTTTCTAGAAAAATGATCTAGAGCCTTCATCTAATGTTGAGGTAAATCATTGTAATAATATTTTCAAAAGTGCTTTTCATTTCTTTATGTATAAAACAAATCATTGCCGAGTGCACATTTAATAATAATAGCATAAAAAAACAGCAGAATAAATTTTCTAATTTTAGCACTTAACCCTGTTGCATTTTGGGACAACCTCTCCTTTTGTATGCATTAAACGCACCGCATGCAACATCTGATGCTACTTGCATGCCTAACGTTACCTGCTTTGAGCTCGATTCGCACAGAACTCCACACCGTCTAACTCCGCCATGCTCAGCGAGGATGAGGATGAGGATGAGGACGAGGACGATCATCATGTGTAGTAGCCCAAATTACCGCTAACCATGCTCAATCTTAATCAAACATGAAATACAAGACAAAGCATTGACAAAAAAAACAAACAACCCATATCATACTTAACGTTACAGTTTCAAATGCATAGAGTGCTACGAGACAACGAGAGCATTAGAATGAAAAGTAATGATTTCTACCCCATTAATATTGTACGGCCTGTACTAGAGGACAGTCCAGGTGCTGCTGACGAGAGTTCGGTTTACCTGCGCTCACGAGCACGCCACTCTTCTTCTTCTTCTTTTGTGTTTAATGGCGGTTGCAAACCAGCTTAAGGTGCATTTCCGCCACCTACTGGGATGGAGTGTGAGGCCTCGATGAACAAACATACTATATACTACTAATATTAAAAAAAATAAATAAATTCTTCTAATCAAATCTGTATCTCTGAGATATTTTAGAAGAAAACCATAAACCCTTAGATGTTTCTGTGCATTCTGAAATATATTCATAACTGAAATGTCATTGATTTCCATATCTCTTAGTTTTTCAACAAGTTGCTTTCTTTGTCTATTATATGCCTCACAACGTAAGAGCACATGTTCAACTGTGTCTGTTATTCCACAGTAACTGCAGCTATCTGACTCACTTTTTCCTATTATATGCAATGAATAATTAAGGTTAGAGTGTCCTATACGGATCCTGGTTATAACAGTATCTTCTCTTCTGTTTCCATATACCTTTCTTTCAATCCCCACTTTCTGTTGAATACTAAATAAGTGTCTCCCTTTTGACTCTTTATTCCATACGTCTTGCCACATACTTCCAACTGCTGTTTTAACAATACCTTTTACTTCTGTTTTACTTAAAGGAATTTCGATGTCAATCTCTTCTTTTCTCAATGCTGACTTGGCCAGCTTATCCACCTCCTCATTTCCTTCTACACCTACATGGGCAGGTATCCATAAAAACTCTACTCTTACTCCTGTTTTGGTTTATTCTATATAAATTCTGTAATATTTCATGAAGTATATCCTGTCTAGATGCTGATTTCCCACTATTTAAACATGTTCAACTGTTTCTGTTATTCCACAGTAACTGCAGCTATCTGACTCACTTTTTCCTATTATATGCAATGAATAATTAAGGTTAGAGTGTCCTATACGGATCCTGGTTATAACAGTATCTTCTCTTCTGTTTACTATTAAAATAGTTTTGTTTCAAATAGTGATCCACTACTATTTCTTTAGGCATACACCTTTCCTATTCATTTATTTTAAAATGCAACTGGAGATCTACCATTGGCATGTGGAACAGCCAAGGGGGTATAATTAGTATTGCTACCGTTGAACTTATTTTTATGTCATTAATTCCTACCTTCTTAGCATCTGCGTTGGCATTCCATCCAAAACTACAATAATTTATATACTCATGTTCCCAACATTTTTGTAAAACATCTTTGACTGGATGGGTTTCTACATGCCCCCTTACAGAACACCAGTATGCCATCTTTAACTTAAGTCTCCGGAGGTCTAAAGGCAACTCCGCCATTTCCACCTGCATCGCTGAGACTGGCGATGTTCTAAATGCCCCACTTCCTATTCTTAGTGCCTGAGATTGGATACCACTTACTTTCTTCAACATAGATACTGATGCCGAACTATATACTATGCTGCCATAATCAATCATAGGTCTAATCATTGCACAATATACTCTTTTCAATGCCTGTCGGGTTGCACCCCAATCTACCCCTGCCAAACATCTTAAAATATTTATTCCCTTTTTACATTTATCTATTACTTTATTAATATGTGATGCAAAAGTTAGTTTTGAGTCCATCCATAATCCAAGGAACCTAATTTCTGTTACCTGCTCTAACATTTTTCCATAAATCTTTAGTTATATATTCACTATTGCCTTTCTAATGTCAGATTCTAGACATATTATTGAATCCATTGTATTACACCCTTTTCTAAAGCCACTCTGATATGAACATATTAGAGCTTTCTTTTCTATTACATACTTTAATCGGCTAATTATCATTCTCTCCATCACTTTGCATAAATTAGATGTTAAAGAAATTGGTCTATAATTTGATGCTTTTGAGTGATCCTTTCCAGGCTTTCCAATTGGAATTATCACTCCGTGTTTCCAAGAGGTAGGGAGTTTTCCTAACTCCCATATCTTATTAAAAAACTCTAAAATAATGTTCAGAGACACATCTGAAAGATGTTTTATCATTTCATAACATATTTCGTCTTTTCCTGGCGATGTATGTTTCACCCCGTGTAACACCTGCTTCAGTTCATACATTGTAAAATCTGTATCCAATGTGCATCCAGATGGCACTTTTCGAACCAACACATTAGGATTGTCTTTCAAAATGTGTTCCCTCTGTACTTTCATACTTTCCAATATATTATTATTACTATGAACCTTAACGAATGCTTCTACTAATTCCTCTGCCTTTTCTTCATTAGTCATTATATATCTACCCTCTTTTATTAAAACTGGAATACTTTTATACATCTGTTTCCCACCCATCTTCCTAACCATAAGCACACCACTCACGGGCTCCTCCGCATTACGTCTGCCCACAAATGACAACGAATCAGAATAAAGCACATGTATTCATCTAAAGATATTTTTGTTTGGGGGAATGAGGTAGCCTGACGGGTTAGCTGCATTATCATACATAACCTCAGTCGCTAATTTCGCTGTCAAAACCAAAACGCGCAGCTCTTCTTGACCGTAAGGGGCGTGGTCACTGATCGGTCAGTGGGCGTGGCCGTTCTCTTTTCCGCGCGTCATCACATGACGTCTAATTCACGCGGCCGTCACAGATTCGCACGAGGATCAATTTTTTAAAGGGCATTTAACGGCGCTCAAAGCAACGCTAAACCACTCATTTATGTTTGGGATATTTCGCTTTTAAATAACCTGGTGGGAAATGGCCACTTTTGAGTCTCTCGGGCTGTGTGAGTGGTTGATCCAGCAGTGTAAGCAGATGGGTATCAGCCGACCGACCCCAGTTCAGGAGAAATGCATCCCTGCCATATTAGAGGGTAAAGATCTGTGTCTGTTTTACATATTAACAGTAAAATAATACAGTTAAAGATCACATAAATAGGCTTTACATAGATCGAGTAGCTAGAACTCCGGATGCGTGAGTACATGTATTTTACTCACTGGATAGCATGGCATAATAAAACAAACTGCATGTCTTCTTAAAAAGTAAAAAGTATTTATTATTGATTTAGTATTATTAATTGTAATTATTTATGGCATTATATTATATTTATGCGAAGCTGTTTGGCTTTTTTTAAATCGATGATGAGTTATTTATTCAGAATGAGGCTATTGTGCCTCAATCAATCTATCTATCTATGTGTATATATATATATATATATATATATATATAATGTATGTGTATATATGTATGTATGTGTGTATGTCTATATATCGTGTGTGTGTGTGTGTGTGTGTGTGTGTGTGTACCAGATGCATCTATATTATGATGGATTTTATAGACCTCTACACATAAAAAAAAAAAAACGATTACATGAAATCAAGTCTTCACTTTTATTTATAGTTCACTCTGTGCAAAATGCTTCAGCAATTCTCTTTTTAGACCCTTTAAGGTTAAAACAAAATTTGTGACTGATGAAATTAAATATTAATAATAAAGTATGATTATGCTGTCTTTCATCAGAACAAAATGTTTTCCCCCCGTCTTTCACACAGGTCGGGATTGCATGGGCTGTGCAAAAACGGGAAGCGGTAAAACGGCAGCATTTGTTCTTCCAGTGCTGCAGAAGTTGTCTGAGGACCCTTATGGTGTTTTCTGCTTGGTGTTAACACCCACAAGGTTTATTTTTTTTACTTTGTGATGATTTATTCAGCCACATTTGAATCTTCATTTGCATGTAGATGTTTCAAACAAATGAAGTTTTTGTCTGTTTTCTGTCCAGGGAGCTTGCTTACCAGATCGCAGAGCAGTTCCGAGCATTAGGGAAGCCACTGGGCTTAAAGGACTGTATCATTGTGGGAGGAATGGGTACGATAACTTTCAACGCTTAACTTGGTTTAAGTGTTTAGGGCTTCTTTATTTATAAAAGCAAAAACAGTGGTAAATGTTTATAGAAAACTGTAATTTATAGAATGCATAGGAGAGACACTTTATTTTTTGTATTGTTTCTTCCATTAGACATGGTCACTCAGGGCTTGGAGTTGTCGAAAAAGCCACATGTTGTTGTGGCCACACCGGGACGACTTGCTGATCATATCCGAAGCTCTGACACAATTAGCCTGAACAGAATCCAGTTTCTAGTAAGATTCTGACATATGCCTTTTTTAACGTGTGTTTTTAACCAGTTTTAATGGAATTGTCGTGTGTTTCTCGGCAGATCCTGGATGAAGCTGACCGACTCTTAGAGCAGGGCTGCACAGATTTCACTAAAGATCTAGAGGTCATTCTCAGTGCTGTGCCTGCAAAACGCCAGACGCTGCTGTTCAGCGCCACGCTCACGGACACGCTGCAGCAGCTGCAGAGCATCGCCATGAACAGGCCCTTCTTCTGGGAACACAAATCAGAGTAAGTCATGTTTGTCAGGAGAATTACAAACCTGAAACCGCATAATCCCCCTAGAGCCTTGCGCTCAGAAAATTATAAACTTCTGGTAGTGCCTAGGACAAACAGTCATCAGAAAGTCGATCAAGCTTTTGGCGTAATGGGGCCGAGACTGTGGAATGAGTTGCCTCTACATATTAGGTCTGCTAAATCTTTGTCAATGTTTAAAGGTGGGGTAAGCGATTTCTGGTAGCCAATGTTGACATTTGAAATCACCAAAACAAACACGCCCCTACCCCAAAAGGGTCTCGCCCCTATTTTGATAGCTCTGCCCCACACATAGGTACGCAACCCAGGCAACGATTAGTTCTGTGAAACAAAGCAAAACCAATGTTACACCGTGTCTACACCGGACGCGAGTGGTGCGGCGCGACAAAATACTACAGAAATCATTATAATCAGTGATGCTGTCTACACCATAGATATATATATACATATCTATGGTCTACACTGGATGCGGCGCGGCACGACAAATCCCTGACAGAAAACTGCTGCTGCGTTCTATT